AGTCATCTGATGATATTGCATTGTGCAAGAAACTGGGAGTTGCAACGAACCCTGTAACTTGTGACCTTCCTTTGTGTCTCTTCACGGGGCTTTTTTTTTTCTACAAAATCCACATATCTCCAGACACTGGGGTGAATAATGGAGTGTGGTGGTGTTTTGTATTTACCGGTAATACTTTATGGATTCTCCACAGGCTAGCCGCCTAAATCATGGGAGTCTCTCGTGTTTTGTGTTTTTTCTTCTTCCTTTTTTCTACTAAGTCCACTATGCTCCCGAATGAATGCGGAAAGTGGTGGCGGAGCCCTGCTGCTCAGCCGACCTTGGTGGTCTCGGCGTCTGCACAGACAAAGCGCGCCAAGAAAAATAGAGAAGGACATAAAAGAGAGGGAGAGAAAAACAAGACGAGAGCAAGATATGTATACGGAAGTGCAGCGCCCACTATTAGCGCCCACACATCTACTACTGCAGAAGGATAATGATCAAAGATACGTGTACATGTACATGCATGTTGGATAGGGAAATTGGGGTCAATCAGAACTTAAGCTAAGGAAGTCAAAGAGCGTCAGTTGCTCTCTGCCAGTCAAGGCGCAGCAGGTAGTTATGGCATCTTTCCTTGAAGGACTGCAGCTGTTGTGGGTGCGGTGCAGCTGCAGATCGAAAGACATGTCCTGGCAGGCTGCTCCACGTTGGGATGGCGCAATCAGGGAACCCATTGCGCAGGCTGCTTCGGGTGCGTGTCGGGAGTGTGATTTTAGTTGGTTCTGGTGTTGCTGAGCGATCTTAGTAGCCAGCCTACCATTCTGCGGTGCTCCAGGCTGGGAAGCCAAACTCCCGGGTCGATGATCTTTAGCGCCCTGTGCTGCATCTTGTCCAGGCACTGGAGCCCATGCACACCAAGGAGCAGTACTCCATCAGAGGGCGGACAAACCCCTTGTACACGGTTGTGCGACCTCTGGCGTCTAGGAGGAGGGCGACCTTGGCAAGGAAGTGGAGCCGCTGAGCAGCTTTGGTTGCAATGGAGTGTAGTGGAGGTGAGTTGAGAAGGTTAATCTCCAGCTCCTCCGGGATGACAGCTCCTGCAAACAGTATACTGGTGGCATGGCTGGGTGTGTGCGCTCATGTCGTGTGTGTGTGTGGCTCCGGCGGATTATGCTCGCGAAATCATGGAATTATGCTTTCCTGGATTCTCGCATTATGCTCGCAAAATCCTCGTATTATTCTTTGGCACGCGGGGATACATATTCACTTTGTTGTGCTTAGGGAGCCTCAAAGTTCGGAAAATTGTGCCTTTTTCGTACTCAGTGCAAGTGGCCATAAGTACAACAAAATACATGACATTGTACATGGGTATCCCCATACCAAGGTGTCCATATGCATGCTAGAGATCAACATAGAAAAGAGAAAGCACTACTTCTTCCATTCATTAGTTGACTTCTTTTGTAAAAAGATTTTTTCATTGCCAAAATAGTTTGAGTTACCTTTGAAAATGATCATGTTCAACTGTCTTCGTAATCATTGTACTCGTCCAGCCGATGTCACCCTCGCCCTGCGAAAAATCAGCTCACCTCTCTCGTAGCTTCACCTCTCCTTCCATCATGCCCGGACATCAGTTATACCTCATTTTTTATTAGAGCAACTTAGTATCCATAGCCTGCACAGTCATGGCCAGAAGTTATGACTACGTCTTACATGCATGATAATGTACATGTACGCGGAGTTTTGCGGACTACCCGTCACTATCTCGTCCGCCCCGGGATACCTGATCAAGGCTGATTCACTCGCATCTTCTGCTACATGTACTGTATCAGTGTGAGAGTGAACTTTGAACTTACTGAGAAGATGAGTTCGAGATTCAGTCTACCCTGCTTTTCATTGAACACTATCTGCATGACCTCCGAACCCTTTACCATGCAGACCACCAGCACTGATCAGGTGCATTGTACACAATTGTGTAGCCTACATACTAGAACTGTGGTACAGTCATGTAGTTATGCTCCAACCTCCGAAAGGATGCCACTGAAATTATGCCAAATTTTCAACCACCAAATTATGCCAATATTAAATTATGCCGGCATAATCCGCCGGTGCCTCAGTACAGCAGTGTGTGTGTGTGTGGGTGGGTGTGTGGGTGTGTGTGCGTGTGTGTGTGTGCGTGTGTGTGTGTGTGTGTGTGCGTGTGTGTGTGTGTACATGTACATGTATGTGTGGTGGTGTGTGCGCGCGCGCGTGTGTGTCTTTAAAAAAATATTATTGGTCACGGATATCCCGGCCTAGCCTACGTAGAGGAGGTGATTTGGCTTTTTTTTAACATTTGGCATTTTTTAACAAATGTGTAAAATTTGCTTTTCTTCTGGCTGTTTCTCTGCTCCGGATGGCTGTATCGAAAAATGGGTGGTGGCAAATGAGAGCCAATTTATCGTAGATCCACATTGACCAGAAAATTTGGTGCATATAATTTAATTCTCCCTGCCACGTTGGTGTAACTAGTGGTGGGTGCTTT